TGGAATTTGACACAACATTGTAAAATGATTATAAATCAATAAAAAGTGTTAAAAAAAAAGAAAATAGTGATCTCAATAATATTAATATAGTGAAAATTTTGTTTTTTAGTTCAGTAGATGTTTGAAAGTCATTGTAGAATATCAATTTAAACATTAATAATTATCAAACTCAATACAATTGATTTAAAAAGTTATTGTTCTCTAAGCTCTGAGTAATCCCATTTTTCTCAGCACATTTTCTGCCAAGTTTCAAATGGATTAGTTTCTTCCTTCCTTTTTAAAAAATATAGATTTGGGGAAAGCATCAAAAATCTACCCAGAACTTCAAGGAGCCAAAACTAGTTGGAATTAGATGTCAACACATCTGAAATGTCAACACATTTTTTTTCTGGATAATTTCCTGTGATTTGGAATCTTGATTTTTTTTGAGTAATTTTTAGTATTCCATTTTTAAAGTGTTTGCTTTCAAGGAGGATATTGCCTTTGAGACTTTCTTAACCAGTTAAATTCTCTTAAGAGTAGAAAATATGTGAAAAAGCCAAGTTGCATGCTTATTTCTCCAGGATCTCAGTCTCCTCTCAGAAATATACACTCTTATACTGAACCTTCTGAAACTGTCTCTCTTTTTTTTTTTTCATACACAGGCTTATGTTTTCACACCAGTTCATAGATTGGGCGGAAGATACCACTTCTATTTTGATAGAACAGAATGGCATGTGGGCGTGTGATGTGGGGGACTGTATGTGACTCTTGCCTTCCTTAGGTACAAAATCAGAGAGGGGTTCCTGCATGTCTCCTAGGTAGGTAAAAAAATCATGGATATTTTGAAACCTGACTCTTTGGTGGTTACTTTTCCAAGAAAAAATATTCTGGGAGTAGGATTAGTGGGGGAAGCAGAGAGGAGAGTAAAATCTTGCATTTTAAAATCAATTAAGTTAAGATTTTTCTTATGAAGAAGCAACGTGGTTCTGCCCACCTATAATTAGAAAGCTTAGCTTACTGACATATTCCTATTGCCTGAAACCCCAAGTGAGAATTCCAATCTCAAGTAAGGGTGTGCTTTTACCTAGTAAACAGTTTACTGAAAGTTGAGAAGCAGCCTAATGGGAGACGGGTGGGAACTCATCAGGGAAGGCATTGCTGGGGTTGGAAGAGCTGAGAGGGTCATCTGGACACATTTCTTTCAGAGGAAATTTTGACATTTAACAGCTTGTGTCCCTCACTTAAGGGAGGGAGACCCTGAGTCCATTTTTTCATGCTGGGAATGGTGACACCTTGCTCTCAGGGTCCTAAGCTCTCTAAACAAGATGATTTTTAGCCTTAAAGTTAAACAAGGTGTTGTTGGAGAAATGGAGAATATAATTTGATGGGGTCCTTTGAGAAAGTACGAATTCCCCTAGACTTTTCCTTTACCTACTTTCGACAAAGGCATCAAACATCATTGTTTCCTGCTTTGGACTAGATTCTCTTGTGTCCAGGAGGAGAAGAGAGAGCATAACTAAGAAGCATTTCTGTAGGTAAAAGAGAAGTGAACTGACCCCATTTCCAGTGGTTGAGCTTCTCTCCAAATAGGTAGATGCTGACAATAAAGATGTAGCTGAGAGAGAAGAAGGCTGCTAGACCCATCGGACTGAGTTTGGCAAACACAGGATATACCCACGTGCCCGTCTCAGAGTAGATCCATAGAACCCTGCAGAAAATGACAAGTCACAGTGATTAGGACGGTAGGGGAAAAAGCCATAGTCTCCTCAAGATCAGTGGAGTTCTGAAGCCCAGGCAGATGAAAAAGAGACACAGATACATTCGTTTCATGCACTGGGCTTGACTATTTTTACCTAATCCATTAAAATTCAATGGTGGTGAAAGAATATGGGAGAACATTAAACATATCATTAGCCAAACAGAACGTAAGAACATGAATTATTCTTTCCCTGAGAGTTATGACCTGCTGAGACATTGAACCTGCTAAGATGGTGCCATTTGCTCACTGTCAGCCAGACAAGTGGGGTTTGCTTTTCTGTACCTAAGAGGTAGGTGTAGCTTTCCATTAGCTCTCCATGCCTGTTGGGGTAGGAGGGGCAGAGAGTGAATGTTATTACTCTGATATAATAGGCCTGGTGTTTAATTATTGACCCAGATTTTAGCTCACGCATATAGCCATGGATAGAGTGTTAATTAGAAATGGATAGATCTACAGAAGGCTCGCTCATGTGAGGATAGATTGTAAGTCATTTCTGTAAGCCAAGAGAAGGAAAAGCAATGCTAGGAGAGGAGCCATGATGTCTAAATGAAGCCTTAAAATGTAGTTTTCTGGAAACAAACTGCACCAGAAGATGCCAGAGTCTGAAATAACTTTTAAAATTAAATATGGGGAAGATGATGTATCAGCTACAGTTTATATTGCTAAAGAGTACAGAATATGGAACCTGTCTTCTGTGATTCAAATTCTAGTTCTGCTACCTACTAGCTATGTTACCTTCACCAATGTGTTCAACTTTTCTATCCCCCTACTGTGGTGTATAGTGTGGAATGCAAAGAGCATACACCTTACAAGGCTATTGTAAACATTAAGGGACTTAATTTAACACACGTAAATTACATAGAACAGTGCCTGGCACATTGTAATCATTTAATAAGCGATTTAAAAACTTCTCTGAGGAATGATACAACAGGAGTTGTGTCAGCAGAGGCTGTTCATCTCTTGTAACAATTAGGATAGCCTAGAAACAACATTCATATTTGAATACCCTATGTTGTCAAAGGAGCTCAGATGGAAGAATGAAATTCTGTGCTTAATTAAACTTTCAAAACCCAAGTAAGATCTTGGTTGTTTCAAATACTTTAAGTTTGTCAAATGCTTTATTGGAAGATAGAAGGGCTAATATCAAGGCTAGGACTAGGGGGAAGCAAGGAAGGCACCTACAGCATAAAATTTAAAAGACCATTTCTGTACATCAAATGACACAATCAACAGAATAAAAAAGGCAGTTTACAGAATGGGAAAAATATTTGCAAATCATACATCTGATAAGGGATTATTGTCCAGAATATATAAACAAATTCTGGAACTCAACAACAAAAAAATAAACAATCCACTTAAATATGGACAAAGGATTTGAATACACAATTCTCTAAAGAAGATATACAAATGGCCAATAAACACATGAAAAGATACTCAGTGTCGCTAATCATTAGGGAAATGCGAATCAAAACAATGAGATACCACTTCACAACCATTAGAATATCTTCTATAAAAAAAGATCCAGAAAATATCAAGTGCTGAAGAGAATGTGGAGAAATTGGAACCCTTGTGCACTGTTGGTGGAAATGTAAAGTGGTGTAACTGCAGTTCCATATCTGGGTACATACTCAAAAGAATTGAAAGCAAAGACTCAAAGAGATATTTGTACACCAATGTTCATAGTAGCATCATTCACAATAGTTAAAACATGGAAGCATCTAAGGATGAAGAGATAAATAAAATGTGATACAGGTATATACACACAGTGGCATATTATGCACTTGAAAGGAAGGAAATCCTGACACATGCTACAACATGAATGAACCTTGAGGACATGTTGGATGAAATAAGTGTCACAGAAGAACAAATACTGTTTGATTCCACTTATATGAAATACTTAGAATCATCAAATTCATAGAGATGGAAAGTAGCATGATGGTTGCCAGGGGCTAGGGAAAAGGGGGAAATAGGGAGTTTTTATATTTAGAGTTTTTATATTTAAGGGGTACAGAATTTCAATTTGGGAAGAAAAACATTCTGGAGGTGGATAGTGGTGATGGCTGTACAACAACATGAATGTCCTTAAAGCCATTAAACTGTATACTTAAAAATAGTAGATTTTATGTTATGTGTATTTTCCCATAGTAAAAAAACTTAAGGAGGCATCAGTCTTAGGGTTGTGCATATGTAGGATTGGCCCTTGGTATCCTGGCCCTGCTGGTATCACTCTGCTGCCCCAAATTTGTCTAGATGCTACTCATATATTCGAAACTGTACTAGATTGAAAACAAGTAATAATTATTATCATTGTTACTAATACTGGAATTCTAAAAGTTGTGCATCCCGCGGACGCATTTTAGAAGGCTATCCATAAAATTTGTTTCCTGCATGGCTGCTTCTCATGACAGGATGGGGAAAGTATAAGGGACAGAACGTGAATATCGTCAAGTAACTAGGGCCAGGAGTTTGGGGTCAGTGAGAAGATCTAAATACACTCCAAATGGGTTGCATTAATTAGTTCACTTTGTTTACTTTATAGACTTGAAATTAGGGCTTCCTAGTTTCCATGCACATTTATGTAAGATAGTCTACAAATAAGGACATTCCCCTGGAGGCCTGGAAAGTTTCTGTTCATTTACTTCATTTTGTTTCCTCCATAAGGTTTGTAAAGGGAAGTTCCTGAGGTAGGTCTGAAGTCTATACTTTCACAGATAAAGTGCAAGGGAAGTTATAGATATGTTAACTGACAGTGGGAAAAGTAATGTAAGCACAGAGTGTCAGGCAAGATTGCAGTCATTTAATGAAGGGCAGTCAGTGGAGAGGCCTGAGTGAGGAGATAGTCATGCTCAGGTTCTGTCACCTCTGGATCGCTTGCCTGAATATATGCTAAAAGGGGAGAGATGGAGAGGAGGAAAAGGGGAAGCAGGTGGTAAGGAGGGAAGGAGAGAAGGAAGAAGGATTGGGAGGAAGGAAGAAAGGGAGTGAGGGAGGGAAAGGCACTCAGCACTTCTGCAACTGAATTGTCACTGTCCTTCGTCTCAGTCAATGTCAGCTCTTCCCTAGCTCCCGTATAGGAACCCATGAAATCATATTTAAATATTTCTGGCTGTGCACTCATTTCATGATCTCAATCCAGGCTTCTCCAACTCGCCTAGGTTTCTGTAATAGTCTACTCACTGGGCTTTCTTGCTCCTGTCAACTGTGTTTCTACACAGCAGGCCAGCAGGTCACCAGTCATCCAGTATTCTTTCTAAAAGAAAAATCTGTTTATGGTGCGCCCCTGCTCCCGGTGGATCCCCGCTGTTTTAGAAAGATACCCAAACTCCTTTACCTGGCCTATCAGGCCACTTGCCCTGCCCACCTGGACACCTGTCCACCCTCAGATCTGTAGTCCAGCCACTTTGGACCCCTTTCTATTTCTTGAATGGGCCAAGCTCTGCAGCTTCTGGGCTGTCACCCATGCTATCATGTTTACTTGGAACACCTCTGACCTTTTTGCTTCCTAGGACATACTGCTTGTTCTGTCCCTGGCTGAATTTTACTTATGCTTTGAATTTCAGCTTAAAAGTTAATTTCTCTAGAAAAGGTACCTTCCCCCACCCCCATTCAGTTAGGTTCTTATGCCATGTGCTTCCCTTACCGTGAATTTACCCTTGTTGCATATTTGACTGTCTTTCTCCGTAACCTGGAAGCTCTGCTAGGTCAAGGATTTTACGTATCATGTGCATCCATTTCCCAAGTGCTGGGAACATGGCAAGTTCTTTATATTTTTAAATGAATGGCTGTTTGGTGGCTCTAGCAGCACCTAAGTTTCCTTTTAACTGCTGTTCACTGTGGCTACAATATAAATAGGTCTCAGCTGCCTGACCCACCAAGAACTCCACAGCCTCTGAAAACTGGCAAGTGTCACCAGTAGCTTCCAAGTTTTAGTTAACCGGATGCTCACTTTATTAATACTTTGAAGAGGCCAGTGATTCTGACCTTCAGTTCAGCAGTTAATATTACATGTGGAGCTGTCTGCAAGTATGCATCTGTGTGAGTCAGGCTGGGCAGGCACCAATTGGTAGCCAAAAATTAATCTTTTCTAATCTCCTCATCCTAAATTTTGTAGCATCGAATGATTATCATGAAATTTGTATTTGCTATGTCTCATCAGTAGGGAAATAGTGGAAGTCTGTGGGTTAAAGATTAGTAGATAACTAGGGGTTTTGTCGGCTTTAGGCATGTAATTCTTAGTGTTAATCCTTGTCATATCTCATACACTCCAAATGGGTTGCATTAATTAGTGCCTCCAGGCACTAGTGGGGAGTAGGAGAGGATCGTTGATGCTGGGTTTAATAGGTGGCTAATCCTGGAACTTAGCTTAGTCTACCCCCCTGGCAGTTTTTAATGTCTTCTAGAGGTAAGATGTCTCTTTGTGTAAGTGTGTATGTGTAAATGGGTGCATGAATTTAGAGGGTTATTATATGTGGGGGAGTCCAGACAGCTTTGCTGTGGGACCTCACCTGAGTGAGTGTAGTATAGAAGAAAGGAATCACCTCTCTCGCCCCATAGGAACTGCTATTGAGAAGTGATTTTACAAATAACTCCCTCCAGACTGGGTTATAGCTGCATATCTATGGGACACTTGCACTTGGCATGCAACACCTTATACACTATCAGTGACACGAACAGCATCAGCAGATTTCTTGTCTACCAAGAGCAAGGGGGTGGTACACTACAAGCCAGTGCTGTTGTAGTGGCCAGTAGCACTGTTCTGCTTCGACCAACACTGGGGTCTAATGGGCAGTGGCAGCGCTGAGGACAGCGTGCTAACTTTAAAGCAGAGCCAGGTCGAGGTGTTGGTCCAGGAGGAGGGGTATTGTGGCTTTACAGTCTGTGTGGCAGAGCAATGCTCTGGACAGTGTACAACGTGGGTGTGTGTGAACACTCACTAGATTATTAAAATTTTTTAGAGATGGAGGTCTTGGAGAACTGGGCCAGGCAGAAGGGTGTTCCAAGCACCCAGATATGGGATGACACTGAAACAGTGAAACAGCTGTGGATGAAGAATAAAACATTGTGACTGAATTAGATGGCTTAAGAATATTCTGGCTAACCTTTATTTGTATATTGCTTTATTCTCTTTTGCTTCCCAAATCTTGCCACTTCAGTCCATTTTAAGCAGTATTGTTAAGATACAAGATAGCCTTTTAAAATCATAACTCTCTGGCTGTGTTACTAATAATTCTCACTCCTACCTCCATGCCAAACAAACAACAGCAACAACCAAATCTCATTGTCGTGTTTGGCCTCCTCCAGCCTGCCATCCACAAGCCTCTGTGAGCCGGCAGTTCCAGGGTTATTTCCCGTTAGTCTCTTTCACTAGTAGGTCTGTCTAAAGCAGATTGCTGGCTATTGCTCTAACGTGACCTGTGCCCTCTTGGCTTTGAGACTGTGCTATGTTGTTCACTTTCTCTCATTTTTTGCTGCTCACATCCAGCCCAGGATCTTCAGGGCCCAGATCCAATGACACCTTTCATGAAGTACTTCCTGCACTGTCTGGCCAAACATAACTGCTTCCTGCTCATCTTCCTGTTGGCTTCTTGTATTTGTTATGACATTTTATCACTTCCTGTCTTGTATTCTTGTAATTTGTATGTGTGGCTCATCTCCACTTGTTAAGTACAAGCCCCCTACAGGCTGAGACTTGGCCTTATATAACTGCTTTTCCCAGCAGGACCAGCCCTGTATTAGGGGAAATATTTGTTCCATAAAAGAATGAATAAGAACCAGCACTAGGAACATTTCTATTTTTCTGCTCCTCAGTACCGCTTCAGAGAGAGCTAGGTGATGTGTTTTGGGCTGAGAGAGAAGGGAGGAGTGAGTGAACTACCATATTTATAGATGACTAATGCTTTCCAAAGGAAATGAAAGATCTACAGTTATTACTACTTTGCAAAGCTTTATTTTCCCACTTAGGGGCCAGCCCTGCAATTTTGCAATCTGAAAAATAACAAAAAGCAAGTGCCATATATGAGGCAGTCCCCATGTTCTCCGTGGCTATTTTTAAGTCATTATAACGTGGTTTCGCCAGTGAAAAGCTTCTCCAGCAAAGGGTTATTGCCATTTTTCTGACTCATGTTTGTTTCTCACGCTCTCTCTGGTCTGGGACCGTATTCTTTACCTCATTCCTGCTATGCTGTTTCCCTATTTGAGTGTCCAAACTGGCACGCCTAACAGCTGACCCATAGCCACTTCCCTAAAATATCTCCATGGATATCCACAGTTTGTGGAACTTGCTGTTGGCCATCTGTGTCCGTGAAGGCCCATGGGCCCCAGAGTGTTGCATAAGGGTGGAGACAGTCAGCAGAAGGAGTCTGAGCTCTCCTGATGATGAAACAGACAGAGACAGGGAAGTTTCAGTCAATGGGGCAGCATAAAATGCCCACATACAGGTATATTTGTTTCATTCTAACAAAAATGGGGCCTAATAGTCAAAATGCTGGTATACTATTTCATTAGTGATAAGAAGGTCCAAATCGTGAACCACTTCAGCTCCCTGCCAGGGTCCACCCAGTCACATTCCTACTGGTGCTAGGTCTCCATCCCTTCCCTTCATTTGCTCCATTACATCACTTTTTAACATCCACCATAAGCACAGAGCTGGGAGCAATAACATCATGAAAGCTTTTAGACTGTAGAGATATTGGTAGCTTTCTTCACACTCACCCCTCTACACAAGCAGGGAGCTGAACAAATATCTGGCCATCTGAATGCACTGGAAACAGAACTGAATTTGGTGATAGAAGTCCTTGGTTTAGGTCTCTGTTTTTATTTTCCCCAGCCACATGCCCTTGGACATGTCATTTAACCCTTTGAGGCTTCGGGTTCTCAATGCTGGTTGAACTCTGAGTTTCCTTCCACTGTCCACCCTCTCTGATTGTGTTTGCAGACTGATGGACATTGCCATCTTTGGGCTAATGTCAACTCTTCTGAGTTACTATATATGCCACCAACTGGCCTTCCTGTCTTGTTCATCTCTAATTTCCACACTTCATCCAGAATCATCTTTTTAATAATCTTTCTTACAGAAGCCAAATCATTTCACTTCTCTGCCTAAAACTTAGCCCTCATTTTAAAAGTCCAAACTCACTGATGTGAATTCTTGATCTAGATTTTCCCTGTCCTTCAGTTCAGGCATGCCCTCAGCTCCTCCAGCCTTTAGCAGATGCTGTTCCCTCTGCATAAAGGTCTTTTCCATGTTTCTTTCAGCTTATTCTTACTTGTTCTTTGGGTGTCAGCTTAGACACCACTTCCTTTAAGAAGGCAATCCTCCAACATCCCACAGTACCCTGTGCTTATCCCTATTACAGTCTCATCACCCCATCTTCCCACTGTTTCTGTACTTTCCTCCCTCCCAGACAGTCCCTAACAGCAGCCCGGTGGCTTGTATCCTCAGTACAAGTGCCTGGCACTATGAATAACTGAATGGACATATGATGTGTCCCTCCTGAGCTTCGTGTTGGCCCTCCTCTCTCTAACCCCTCTGGTTCCCTGCACTGTCAAAACAGATGCCTATGCGCCAGCGAGCCAAGCCCTCTTGACCGCTGCTTCTCATCTTTATGGCCACCACAATTTCAGCCAAATACCAGCAGTGTTAGATACTCTTTTATTTACCTTCTTGGTTTCTGAGGAGGAAAAGAGCAAAAAAGGTTAGCAATGAAGATTGATGATCAACCTCCAAGTCCTTAGGTAGAAAAAAATTAATAGGCCAAAAGTGCTATCTTATATATGAACTCCAAAATTTATACTTAGAAAGAAAGAGTAAATCAAAGTCCACCTGAGAACAGAGTATGGAAATTCGTGTGCGTAATCAACCAACTACCACACTGCTTCTCCTCAACAAATACAATGGAAAGAAGTATCTACCCCACCCCAGGTCCTAGATATTCTGTCTTTAGGGATTTATTCCTTTGGATTAAGTCAGACTTGAAATATACATGGCACATGTCCCACCAATCTCCATTCACATGCTATTGGCAGATATTGCTAAACGATAGCACAGCTCTTTTGGGAGGGCCTCAGAATCCTTCTCAACACAGTGCTCCAGTCCATAACTACCAGTAGGTCCCCAGCTTATACCTTATTCTCTAAAAGTGTCCTTTAAGATGCAGAAGCCCCAGGCTAGAGGACAGTGTAGATCACTGGAGCCTTGGGGTAGATTTACGGAGCAAGTGCTTTTTTCGAGACAGGAGAAACAAGACAGACTTTGGGTACTCAGGGAAAGAGAGGTGCCGAAGGGCAGGAGGAACATACCTCACAGAAGGGAAGGAGAGGCTAGGGGAGGAACCGCCACTTGAGTTCTGATCACAGAGGTTACTGGCTCTACGGCAAAGGCTAGTGAAGCCCATGAAGCAGGCCCTCCTGGAACCCAGGTCCTTTGCAGTGTGCTGTCTGGCTTCTGTCTCTGGCAGAGCACTGCCCGGAGTTAAACTTCCCCCACACAGGGACTGGGGGCTTACCCGGATTGTCAGACGTGGAAAGCTTATGTGAGTCTGGGCTAGAGAAGGAACATCATGACCAGTTTCCAGCTGGCAGGTGTTATGCTCGGCATGCTCCTCTCAGTCGAGCAAGAGCATGGCCGTGGGCGAGAAGCCCATAGAATGGAAAAGGGGTTTTCCAGTCCCTGGGTGGAAGGCCACACACTCTCCCTTGATTACAGGCACTGGGCAGCGTTTCTGAGAATTAGTGTCACCAGGTGGCTGAATGATGAAGTCTAGGCCAGCTACTTAAATTATCTCTCACGCCTCCAGCTGGGCTGTTCTGCAGGCCCCCGGACAATTGCCCAAATGCCCTCTGGGTGCTCTAGTGCCAGATGTTGATTCAAATAGGCCCATAATGGTACAGGCAACAGGAATGGCCCACACCTCACATGCTCAACCTGTCAAATGTCTTTTTAGATGGAATATATTTAGATGCCTGAGATCACTCAGCCATTAAGATGTTTTAATTACAAATGGAACCAAAGATTAATGTTTTCCTGGGGAGAGTAACATGCGTGGCTTTACAATGATTAATTCTTCATGAGAGGGAGAGGGGAGCTCGTGACTTTCTGTGTGTGTATATACACGTACACCTGCGTATTCTTGTACATGTGATGTTTCCATGAGTATCAAAAGCAAACAATAAGACACCTTCTGTCCTGAAAATTTAAAGATGGTAAAATCCCTGTTAACTCAAGACAAAGGCACTCCTACAGAATAGTATGCTTCTTCTGGAATAGTCCTCAGAGTCTGGAATGACAAGTCTAAGTTGATATTCTCTCTGCACTTCTTACCTGCTGACATAAGCAAGGATAGCAGCAGCCAAGAAGGTGAGTCCTTTCTTCTTCAGTGGATAGCAGTGGGGCCTGAGGATGACCTCGACCAGTGAGAAGGGCAATATGGATGTGTGCTGCAAGGAAAAAGATGACAAGTCATAGTATCGGTTATGATACAGTGCCGCTGACTCTTCCCCCTCCAGTCCACCTTCTTAAGCAGATACCAGAGCAACTTTCCAAAACTTGGCTCGGATCATACTCCTTAGATGCCCAAGGACCTACCACCTACAATACTGGCCCCAACTCCTCTGTCTGACTACTAGATTCTTTGTAATGTGCTGTCACCCTCTCTGGTCCTACTTACTGCCCGCTGCTCCCCTCTCCTAACACACATGCACCACACTAACACGGCCACACTCACACACACTCACGCACATGTACACTCTCCTTCATAGAACACGGCTGTTTCCTTCATTCTTTGCACTCAGCATGCTTGCTCTCACCCTCACACTTTTGCTCACACCTTAACTCTCTGTGTGGAATGTGTCTTCTCTCCCTGTATTTATATCGTTCATGTTCTTCACAGCCAGTGCAGTCTTCCATGATGCTGTCTCTGAATTTTCTCCTCTTGCTGCTTTCTCTCACTCAGTTCTGCTGCATTTATACCTTGTGCTGTGTAGTCTAACACTTGTGGTGTGTATTCGTAAACTCAGCAAGGGAGGGGCTGAGAACATACGTAGCCTATCTCTGCATCCTTCATTGCACGTGACACTGCCTAACCGTCCTGTTGACAGGTGGTGGGTGCTGTGGGAGAACCTCCCTCCGAAACCTCTGTGTCCTCCCTACTCCTTCCCTGCCTCATCCCCTCCTTCATAACCATTTCTTTTCTCACATCTTTCAAACCCTTGACACTGGAGTTTTAAAAATGACATAATCAAGGAACTAAGTCTTTAGAAATAGCGGTGTTTTTGGATACAAAGGCCGCTGAGTTCCATTCCTCTCCTGGTGATGGGAACTGGTCTGGGAAAGGTGACTTGAATCTATGTGCAATGTCCTTTCACTTATTAAACACATTTTTTAAGTCCCCTCTGCCATACTCTGCACTTACTGGTAACATCTCATAGTGTTAATATTTTACCCTCCCTACATTTATAGCTATCATTCCTCTTTCATTCCTGCTCCCCAGTTTGCTCAGCTCTTGGCAGGCTCTTGCATCCATAGCCTCCACCTGCAAGCTCCTTCCCATCCTTTTTCCTGAGCCCCGAGGCAGCTGTGTCAGCACTTCAGTTTCAATAGGCTGGGACTTAGGAATGTCACAGTGTTCGTGTCGCCGTGCTCTGATGCTAAGCTGTGCTGCTGGAATCCTGGGCACTGGCTCTGGGCATCCTTTGCTGCCAGTCATACCAGTTTTATACTCAGAGGCATCCCCAGGAGCCAGTAGCTTCCTACATGAGCTAGCAAAGGTGCAGTCAGGATATCAGCACCTTTCAATGACAAGAAATGTGACAAGTTTTTTTTTAACATTTTTTTATTGATTTATAATTATTTTACAATGTTGTGTCAAATTCCAGTGTAGAGCACAATTTTTCAGTTATACATGAACATGTATATATTTATTGTCACATTATTTTCTCTGTGAGCTATCATAAGATCTTATATATATTTCCCTGTGCTATACAGTATAATCTTGTTTATCTGTTCTACATTTGAAATCCCATCTGTCCCTCCCCACCCCCCGCCCCCTTGGCAACCACAAGTTTGTATTCTATGTCTGTGAGTCTGTTTCTGTTTTGTATTTATGGCTTATTTTTTTTTAGACTCCACATATGAGTG